AGTCGAGGCTGTGGTGGACGGGAGCAGCCACTGCACTCCAGTCTGGGTGACAGAGTGAGACTCCAACTCAAAAAAAAAAAAGCCCCTGCACTCCAGCCTGGGCAACATAGACCTGGTCTCTTAAAAAAAAAAAAGAAAAGAAAAGACTAAATTTAACCCTTTGGAATAAAGAGTATGTATTTGCTTTTATGCGCATAAAGTATCCTGAAAGAGTTCATAAGCAATTGATGACTTTGTCTATGAGTCAGAGAACTGGGTGGCTATAGTATGGTATGGAAGAGTTTCCCCTTTACATTCTTTTGTACCTTTGGAATTTCATACATTGTGAATGTGTTCCCAATTCAAAAAATACATTAAAATATAACATTAAAATTTTTTTATGCCAGGCACAGTGGCTCACACCTGTAATCCCAGCAGTTTGAGAGGTGGGGGCAAGAGGATTGCCCAAGTCCAGGGGTTTGAGACCAGCCTGTGCAACTTGGCGAGACCTCATCTCTACAATAAGTCAAAAAATTAGCTGGGTATGGTGGCACACACCTGTGGTTGCAATTAATCGGAAGGCTGAGGTAGAAGGATCACCTGAGCCCAGTAGTCGTAGGCTGTGGTGGCTGTGAGCATGCCACTGCACTCCAGCCTGGGTGACAGTTCGACTCCGACTCAAAAAAATAAAGATAAATAAAATTTTTTAAAATATAAAAGTAAAAATTTAAACTTACCCCTCCTTGAATAAAATTTCTAACTAAAATTGTTGAATGTGGCATACTTTGTTTTTGTTGTTGTTGTTTTGAGTTGGAGTCTCACTCTGTCGCCCAGACTGGAGTGCAGTGGCCGCTCCCGGCCACCACAGCCTTGACTGCTGGGCTCCGGCGATCCTTCCGCCTCAGCCTTCCAAGTAGTTGGAACTACAGGTGCTTGCTACCACGCCCGGCTAATCTTTGATTTATTGTAGAGATGAGGTCTTGCCAAGTTGCTCAGGCGGGTCTCGAATCCACAGGCTCAGGCAATCCACTCACCTCAGCCTCCTAAAGTCATGGGATTACAGGCTGAGCCACCGAGCCCAGCTGAGTGTGGCATACTTTGTATTGTCTTGGGTACTGAACCAAAAGACAATGTCATGATTAAGAAGTCAGTTTCAAATGGTTTGTATAAAAATACCTTTTGCCGTGTAGTCTCAAAATTGGAATCTAGCTAGGAATTAAAATATCTACTGCATAAGTAGGCATTATAAAAAAAAGTTTGACACAGGCACCGTCTCTAATTTGTTTGCTCTCATACCGTTCATCA